ATATATATATATATATATTATCATATGGAATTTGAGATTAGCCATGGAATATAAGAAATTGCAAATGTGTCATAATACGTGTTTATTGTAATTATCATACTTTTACCATTCACATGCATGACTGCTGGTCTTAGCATCCATTTTTAAAAGTACTTCAAAGGTTATATTTGATGAAATTATTTGTTCATTCCTGTTTTTAGTGGATGAGATACATTTCTATGCTGTTTTGTCATGGTACAGAAAACATTAAAACAATTACTTTTCTCGGTATATTTTCAATATCTGAAGGGGAAAACGGGGCTAGAATTTTACTTACAATTTTTTACAGATTGGCTCAATAGAAGGAAGAGTTGGTGTTCACCATCTTGATGACGCACAACAAAGCAAAAACTTTACATTTAAGTGCCACAGAGAAGGCAATGAAATTTATTCAGTAAATTCATTAAATTTCCATCCTGTAAGAATCTATTCATGTTTATCATTTCAATGTATTGTTGTTGTTCTGTTATTTTTAATTATATAAAACGCTTTTTTGGAATGTGTTAACTATTAATTATGATTTCAATGCTTGCCTGCTATTTTTTCTTACTACTATGACGAGTGATTGAACTGGTTTTCTTCAGTGATTAGAAGGGATCCAGATAGCCAGTGAGATGAAATTGCAAATTAGAACTATATATATATATATGTATATATATCCTTCTTTTCTGACTAACTTGAAGAATGCATGATTGTTAGTTAATATGCCATGCTATAAATACAAAATTCTAGCTCATACAGTTGCGAAAAAGCTAATACGAGGATTTAATGGTAGTTTGTACCTAAGCTGATTTAGGAGAAGTAGCCTAAGCCTTTCTCATCCCGAGTCGAGAGAAGGAATTGGAATGCTCCTATTACCCACAACACTTTGAGCCTTCTTTTTAGATTTTCTTTGAATTGGCTCCAACTACTCTGATCTTAAGTAGAAAGCTTATCATTGCTAACCTTGGCTGCAGCTTATGCAGTAAATGCAAAATTCCATCTCATACTGACGCGGTGGCTAGGGGGGCCGAACCAGTTCAACCCGGTTTAGCAAGGGGTAAGGGTTGAAAGACCTTGTGTAAAATTTA